TGTGTCGTGCTGGACGGGATTGGGTTGCAGCTTGTTTTCGCAGACTGGCGTCAGCCAGCTCAGCTCAGCTCTGCCCGGTCCGTGGGCTTATTCAATTTCGCAATCGCCGCTTGCCGGCGTCGCCGAATCTCTGCAACTGGCTCCAATTGACTGCCGTGCCACTTCCGACGATGGCGACGGCGACGGCGACAGCGACGTTGGCAGCACCAAAAGCAGTCAAGCGTTTGGTTGCCGAATGCACAGCAACAAAAACAGCAACTCAAGAGTGCTGCCCGACTGCGCAATGCCCTGTACAAAGCAGTTACGCCAAGAGCTGCCCTTAGAACCTAACTAACATTCTACTATACAACTTTATCAAATTTACTTGAAGTTATGCAAAAAGTGAATTATTTTTCAGCTTTCTTATTCTACAACAAACCCATATACAAAGTTTGATGCAAATAACTTTTATATTCCTCGAGTTATGCCTAAAAAATCAAAGCTCAACCTTCTTCTATGCAAATATTTCAGTTCTGCTCGAAGCTATTGCAAAAGTGAAATGTTTTTTAGCTGTATATGCCATAGAAAAACCTATATAGCAAGTTTAATGCAAATAACTTTCATATTCCTCGAGATATGCCCAAAAAACTATAGCTGAAAATCGATATTTAGCGATATTTTGAATACGATAAGAAATATTGGCAAGGAAATACTCAAAACTTGCTGTGAAAGGCATAGAAAAGTTATATTTCAAATTTCAAGTCTGCAGCTCATATAGTTGCCAAGTTCGTTGAGTACATGCCTAGAATAACACAACTCGCCTCTTGCCAGTGTGACCTTATGCACATGCAGCTTAACAGACTTCTAGACTGTGACCACTCAGCGAAGTGACTTTCAAACTGTGACTTGGGTTAAACTTTGGCAATTTCGTGATGTATCTCATATGCCCATTCTCACTGGCTGGAACAGGGTATAACCAGGACAACGGCAACCAGAACGTCGACAGCAAATGCAATAAATTTTCAAGTCATTTCAACTTCCGGTGTGTGGCCCGATTACAGTTTAGTAGCTGTAAATATATAGGCGACACACACACACACACACACACTCTCTCCCTCTCTCTCTCTTGCACTTCATCGGTCTGGCAACGCTCGCGTGTTCCTTTTAAAGCGTCTGCTGCTCATTAAATGTCGCATCGCTTGAATTTTATGTTGCCTACTTTTCAACAGATTTTTTTCATCTGCCATTCGCCGTTTTTAAGGGCGTCGCTAAGCCCCCGAACGCCATTGTAATTACAGTTGAAGCCACTTGGGAGCGAGCTAGACACTCAATTATCTGAGTCATGTGAGGCAAAAATTATGAAATGGCAAGAAGCAGAAAGAAGAAGAAGCAGCAGCAGCAGCAGCAACAGAGACAGCTCTTCAGCATGGACTTGGAGTTAGAGATGGCCGCGTGACGCAATAGCTCATACCCAAAAGGCAGCAGAAGCAGAGACATGTGCATGGAGCTAGAGATGGGCGCGTGAGCCTTTAGCTTGTCACGACACAAACAAGCGCAAATTTATTGTAAGGATCGTAATAAATACTTGAGCATTAGAGACATTAGCGATGCATGTATCGATATACAATCCAGCGATGTATCGAAATGTGAAATAGCAAAGTTGTATCGATGTTGAAATTGTCGATACCACATCGATACCTCGAGCTGGGATGGACAACGATCGCTTGATTATAGTTAATTAGTTATTTATAAAACATTCCCAAAACAAAACAAAAACAAAGAACACATTTTTATAGTCCGAGCGATTCAGGTTTACCCAATTAATCAAATCTTAATTTGAACTATAGTTGTAGCTTGCATAATAAGACTAGAAATATCGCGTGTCTCTGTGCTCGTGTCACGATAGTAGGCACGAGATGCGCCCAGCTCTAGTTAGCTGTAAATCGAGCTGCCGCTGCCGCTGCTGAGACTTTGCGGCGCTCTAAAGTTTCTTTTGGCGACACGTTATTTGCCTTGTCATTGTCATAGGCTGACGTTGATGTTGATGTTGATGCTATTGTTGTTGTTGTTGTTGCTATTGTTGTTGTTGTTGTTGTTGTTGTCAATGGCGCCATTATTAGAAATATTTCCATTGTTGTTCGTTAGCGTCGCCTAGCATCGCGGTTTTTCTTCCTGTAACTGTCACATTTGCCCGCCACTTCATCATTATCAGTCTCGCAAACATCATCATTATCTTTATCATCATCATCATCATCATCATCGTGCAGCTACCAATACAATGTAACCTGCAATTCTTGGCTTCTATTTGTGTGCGTGCTGTTTTCCCCCCTCCCCCCACCACCTCTTTCGCCATAAACAAAATGCTCAACTGCTTCCTGTTTGGAGTGCAAGCCGTTCGCCTTTGCTCTCCCACTCTCTCTCTCTCGCTCTTGCTCTCTCTCTCGCTCTCGCTCTCGTGCTCTTTCGTCTGGTGATTAGCGAGCGCAGCAGCAGCAGCGATAATGTCGCCCATGGCGAGCTGCCTGGTGTGGCGAGGGTTGGGCAAAGGGGAGAGGAGAGGGGGCCGCCAGGCAAATGATTGCCACTTGAAGTGTAAACGAGCGTATTTTACAAAGTAAGCATAACGGAAATCAACGGCACTGCAGCCGGGCATTGGAATGGGGCAATGAGCGAGTAGGCGTGGGAGTGGGAGTGAGAGCGGGAGAGCGGGAGAGCGAGAGAGGGAGATAACAACATTGCATTGATCAGCGCGTGTGCCTAATCGCTTTAATAGTTATCGCGATATGCAGACATGTAACTGTAAATGCGCTCTCATCGAAAAGTGTGCACATTAGATATTTCCAGAAATCTGCTGACAACAAATTAATCGAAAAGTGTGCACATAAATTTATCGAAAAACTTATTAGCTTCTGATATGCTGAAAATATCAGAAAGTGATTTGTCAAAAAGTGTGTACATCAGATATTCAGAGAATAAACATGACATGTTCAGAATTTCGATGCATATAGAAACCCATTTGTAAGAAGAACCATCTATAGAGTCAATCGAAATGATTGACAAGTGTGCACATACAGTTTTTTTTTTCTTTAAATAGAAATCGAAAGAAAAAATAACTGACTTATCGAACAGTGTGCACATATGCATGGAACATGGCAGTTAAAACACAAGCTATTGAAAGCATATTAAATGTAAACATTTTTGTTGTCTAAAAAGATAACTGCTTTAAGAAGTCGCCTAGCTTCAAGACAATCATAAGTGTGACATTTCAAATGTACATTAATCAAATTGGTATTTCACCTGAAGCAGCGACGGCCAACTTGTGGGCTAGCACAACAGATCCATCTTGGAAACTGTCTTGGCCCGCCCCATGCCTCAATTATATCAATTCGCCTTGAGCCAGGCAGCGCGACATGTGTCCCGCAGCCAAGGAGCCCGACTAGGAGACACCCTGTACCCAGCGCCGAGCTGTCATATTCGAATATTCTTGCAGGCTTCAATAATCTAAGAGAAGGTGATTTATTCTGGTTATGTGTTTATTAAATGTGAGCATTTATTACATTTCAGGCCTCTTGCGCTTAACAGCTCATTTATCGATATATATCGATATTCAAGAAATAGGTGGCAATATCTATCCTTAACCGATAGCTATCGATGTTTAGGAAATATGTGGCAATATCGATAAGGAAAGTTTCAAGTCTTTATCCTTTGCATCAAGTCGACTCTTGATACTCTATATCGAGGCATCTTTTCAGGTCTCTTGCTCTTAATAGCTCATTTATCGATATTTATCGATATTCAAGAAAAAGGTGGCAATATCGATAAATAAAGTTTCAAGTCCTTATAAACTAGACTCTTAATATCCTATATCGAGGCCTCGCTCTGCCCGTTACATGCACATGCATTCCACCAGCCCCTCCCCCTCTATTGGGGCCATTTTCAGTGGATGCAGGGTATTAAAGGAGTATCATTTGCAACTTTAAGTTGCCTTAGCTCGCAATTGCAGTTGCCGTTTCTATGGCCCTTATTGAAAGTGTCATTAGGCGAAAGTTACTGCAGCAGTAACAGTTGCAGTAGCAGTAGAAACAGCAGCAGCAGCAGCAGCAGCAGCTGGTGGGGTTATTATCCCAGTTTTCCCAGCATTAAGCTGTTGTTAGGGGTGTTCGATAAATTTCGATAGTCCAATAAACATATATCGAAATCATGTTAAATATTTTAAGGAATTCAAGCTAAAAGAATTCGTCTGAGATTGATTTTTTGTCTGGTCAAATTTAACTAAAATATTGTTGTTAGCGGGCCATGAATACCCCTACTTGTGACTTTCTTTTTTTCTTTGTAGACTAGACAAGCCGCTTGCGCAAATTGATGTTTGCGCAAGCCAATTGCTCATTTTTTTCTTTTCTATTTGCAAACATTTGTTTAAATTTTTGCAATTTTCTTCAAAAAAATTGATCTAATAAATTGAATATCTTAATATAAATAAATATAAAAAAAACGGGATGATCTAATTACTTTTTTTTTATTTATTAATATATTTTTTTTTCTTCTGATTAAATTTTAATTTTATAAATAAATTCCTTAAAATAAACAAAAAAAAAATGTAGTTAAGAAAATTGAGCTCTTCACAAACCGAACCGTGAATCGAACCGGCGACAATTTAAATGCACAAGTCTTGTAGCTTGCACAAACAGCGTGTTGCGCAAACGAATTGCGTAGCACAGGGCCGCCCGAAACATCCGTTAGATTTCAAACGGAATTTCACCACGCTCCAAGCAACAGTTCCAGTCTACACACGAGCAGCTTAGTCAAGTTGCGCACCACTTGAATGCGCCCGGTTGGCCACACTGGCAACAGTGCTGCCAGACTGTTGGATGCATATAAATGGCCGTCTAATGCATTACGCAATGGCAACGCTGGCAAATAGTTGTACACACACACACGCACACGCACACGCACAGAGGGGCACTTACACACACATGTGCGCAAGTAAATATGTATATTTTTAAACAAATATCAAATATGTAAATAACTGTGTGCATTTATCTGTATCAGATATTGCTTTTTTTAATTTGCATGGCCAACGCAATTAAAAATATCGCAAGTGCGTTCGAACTAAGCCGTTAGATTGATAACAAATTGTTTAAACACCTGCACACACGCACAGACACACACACACACACACACGCCGGGCTTGTAATGTATTTTTTAATATTTATTAGTTCGCAGAAGTCGCTTTGCATTGCACAGATCTGTGCTGTGATTAGTTGACGCATTCGGACGAAACGGTTAATTCTTGACCCCAAATTGACCCCCAGACCTGCAATATGTCCACCAACTGTGATCAGGACGACGGCATGGCCAGCTCGCAGCCCCCGGGCATCAGCATCAAGCTGGCGGCGGCAACGACGCCGGATCAATCGGTGCCCGCCTCGCCCAGCTATCAGACGCCAGCGATGCGTCGGAACGTGAGCGCCGGCAATCTGATGCTCGCCGCCGAGGCGAAGGAGGCGCGCGTCCGTGTCATCTATACGGGCGGCACCATTGGCATGATGCGCAACGAGCGACACGGTAGCTGCACCCACTTGCCCAACTCTCCCCAACTCTCTCTAATCTTTCGCTCTTGCCACGCTCGCTTGCAGTGCTGGCGCCCATACCGAACGCCCTGGTCCGGCTCATACGCAAGTATCCCAATATACATGATGAGGATTATGCACAGCGGCATTTTGGCGCCGGGGCATCGCTGGCGCCGCTTGTGCTGCCCTTTGTCCAGGGCGAATCGCGACGCGTCATCTACCAGGTGACGGAATATTCGCCGCTGCTCGACTCCAGCAACATGACCATGGACGATTGGGCGCGCATAGCCAAGGATATCTATGTGAGTGTACAGCTAGCTCGACTGGCAAATACCCTGTAAACGTAAACAGCTCTCATTCTAACCGTTGGCAGCAATCGTACGAGTTCTTTGATGGCTTTGTGGTGCTCCATGGCACGGATACGCTGTCGTATACGGCGTCGGCGCTGTCGTTTATGCTGGAGAATCTGGGCAAGACGGTGATCATAACGGGCTCACAGCTGCCGATCTTTGAGACGCGCACCGACGGCAAGGACAACTTCACGTCCGCCCTGATCATTGCCGGCAACTATGTGATACCGGAGGTGTGCATCTTCTTTGGCAACAAGCTGCTCCGTGGCAATCGCACGGTCAAGGTTAGCTCCAATTCGCTGGACGCCTTCGATTCACCAAATGTGCCGCCGCTGGCGCAAATCGGCATCAGCGTCAATGTTGACTATCGTCTGATCTTTCGACCGTGCAGCGTGGAGCGTTTCTGTGTGCATTCGCAGCTGGACGAGAATGTGGGACTGTTGCGCATCTTTCCCAGCATATCGCTGGCCACGTTTCGCGCCTTTCTAGCGCCGCCGATGCGCGGCGTGGTGCTGCAATCTTTCGGCTCCGGCAACATGCCCTCAAATCGCAAGGATCTCATCGACGAGCTGCGCGCCGCCGCCGAACGCGGCGTCATCATCATCAACTGCACCCAGTGCCCGAACGGCTCCGTTGCCGAGATCTATGACACCGGCAAGGTGCTCTTCGATGTCGGCGTCATACCCGGCTACGATATGACGCCGGAGGCGGCGCTCACCAAGCTGGCCTACGTCATCGGCAAGTCGGACTGGTCGCTTCAAGTGAAGAAGCAGGTGAGTCATGCGAATCTCTGACGCATCCGCCCAGCTAATCCCTGTATATGTCACAGATGATGCAGGCGAATTTGCGCGGCGAACTGACCTCCGTTGCGGCGCACACGATGAAGGATTACGACCTGGTCGATGCTGTGGCACGCTCGCTGCATCTGTCCTCGCCGCAGGAGCTGGACCAGCTGGGCGCCACCTTGTTTCCGGCCATGATCAATGCGGCCGTCTTCGAGGGCGATCTCAAGAAGCTCAATAACCTAAAGGCATACGGCGCCGATCTGTCGGGCACCAATCATGACCAGCGCACCGCACTGCATCTGGCCTGCCAGCTGGGCGACACGGATATCGTGCGGCATCTGCTGCAGAACGGCGTCTCCGTGCACATACGTGATCTGTGCGAGCGTACACCGCTCCAGGAGGCGGTTGCCAGCGACAATCACGAGATCATCCAGCTGCTCATCAGCTGTGGCGCCCATTTGACCGGCTCCTCGCGTGCCGTTGGCGAGCAGCTGTGCGCCGCTGCTGCACGTGGCGCACTCCGACGGCTGCAATCGTTTCAGCTGGCCGGCGCCGATCTGTGCCTGGCCGATCCCTCGGGCCGCACCGCACTGCATGTGGCCGCCCTGCATGGCTTTGTCGATCTGGTGCACTACCTCCTGCCCTACAGGGAGAATGGCGAGCTTAAGGATATGCTCGGTCTGACGCCGTTGGACTATGCCCAGCGCGGTGGTCATCCGGAAATTGTGCGTCTGCTCGAAACGGCGCTGCCGGATGCCTAAAGTGCCGGACAGCAGCCTTTCCCTGCGGCCGGTTTACTTAAATTTACCTCATCTAGCTATCTCTTTCTCTCACATTGTGCGTACCTGGAGCTGTCTAGTCCAGTTTTTGTTGTTCCTACATGTGCAATAGCTTTTTTTATGTGCATTTTATATATTCAGCGTGTGTATTAACGGGAATTCTCATGTACTCGAAATAAACGGTTATTAATCAAGTGCGATATATATGCCGATTATCAGTTCGATAACGATTAATTTTCAAATATCACAAAGTATCGATAAATGCCGCGGGCTACTTTTCAAGCTCTTGTCAATGGTTTCTTCTTGATATTCCCAAAAATGTATAGATAAATAATTTCTAATCCTGTTGTTCCTACATGTGCGATAGTTTTTTTTTTATTTAAATTTTATATATATAAGCGACAATTTTTCTCTTAAAATAGTTCCTTCTATACGCTCGGAGATATCTCCTTTAATATAAATAAACTTCAAACTCTTAAATTCATTAAAATCAGTCAGAGTCAACCAAAAACCAACACAAACAAATAAGTGAGTACATGAAACGATTAGTTATGCGACTTAATCGATACTATCGCATTAAACAACACTGTATCGTTATCGATGTGGTGAGAACAGCCCTGTAATTGCAATGCAAGGGCAGTAACAACGACTTTGAAGCCCTGGTGTTTAAGTTTTTTTTTGTTAGCATTGCTTAATTACAATTGGTAAATGAATTTTCAATGAAATGCGGTGCACAAATTGTTATTAATTGTGGCAGGAAATCGAGTTGCCTATGCAAATAACGTACGACCGACTGTGTGTGTGTGTGTGTGCGTGCGTGCGTGCGTGTCTGTGCCTGTGTGTGTAGCATAGCTAGACAGATGTACACACACGTACGCACACGCACGCACACAACGAAGAAGTGCACACGTCAGTGCCACGAAATCTGGCCCAAAAATTTGCCAACGGCCTGAAATTGAATTAAATATATATTTTATATATTGACTACATGTCCTCTCACCATTGCAGTCAATGTCGATAGCTAGCAGGACGAACCTCACGAAACACACACGACGACATTGGATATATCCCCGCCGGAGATAGCCAGTGCAGCTTCCTATTTTTTTTTTTTTTTTGTTGTTTTCCCCTCTGGCTTTTTTTGTTGTTGTTGTTTTTGTTTTTAAGTGCATTTAGCTAGTTGCCTTTTTGTTTGTGATGCCCGGGCACAGGGGCACGGCGGAGCCGGAGGATGCCGATGATAGCAGCTCCACGGATTTATCACTTGGCCAGGCAACAACTGGCGGCGGCAAGGCACGCCTGGACAGCCTGCGCGAGAATCTGTTCAAGCAGCAGGTAAGCAACAGCTGTCCCTCTATGCTACTCTTCTATTCATGCCGGACTCTACTCTGCACAGGAACGTCTCACGGCGTTGCGTGAGCGCGCGCTGCGCAAGTCCGAGGATGGCTCGGCTCCAAGCAAGTCCAGCCTAAGCGATTCTATGGAATCTGTCAAGTCGCTGGGCCACAAACTGACCATGCTGAAGGGCTCGCCCGGCCAGCAGCAGCAGCAGCTGCTGTCCGGCCTGGCGGCACAGGATGCATCCACGCCGCTGGCCACGCCCACCAAGGCTGGCGACCAGCTGGAGTACAGCGGCAGCGAGAAGCTGCAAATGCTGAATCAGCGCACCGAACAGAATCGTGCGCTGCTTGAGCAGCGCAAACGTGACATGGCCAAGTCGCTGCAGTCCGTCAAGACGGGCCTCCGGCAGAGCACCAGCAGCGAGTTGGGCTCCTCGATGAGCGATCTGCGCGCCGCGGCAGCAGCGCCCGTGTCGCGGCATCGTTCCGCGGCCGATCTGCAGCAACAGCAGGCGGCACAGGCGCAGACACAGCCGGCCAGCGAGGAGGGTCGCCTGAAGCTGCTCAAGAACAAGATGAAGCTGATCGAGATGAAGCAGGGCCGCAAGGAGCAGGAGTTGCAGCAGGAGCTGCACGAGCTGCGCCACGAACTGGCACAGCGCGAACAGCACATACAACAGCTGGAGGCAAGCGAACGCCCGCTGGCCGAGCAGGAGAACGGGCGCCTTCACGCCGAGATCGAGCAGCTGCGCGCCCGCAACGCCGAGCTGGAGCACAGCAGCGATATGCTAGAGACGCTGCGTCTCGAGTTGCACAGCGCACGCGAGCAACTGCTCGAGCAGCAGCAGCAGCAGGATCAGAGGCCGGTCTCAGACTCAACCGATGCGCAGGTCAACGTGGAGCTGGCCAAGCAGCTGCAGGAGCTGCAGCAACAATTGCTGGAGCTGCGCAGCAGCAGTCACGAGGAGCAGGAGCAGGTGTCCAGTCAGGCAGGCAGCAGCGAAACGCAGCGCCTGGCCGAGCTGGAGGCGACCATCGAGGCGCAAAACGAGCAGCTGGCGGAGAAGACCACCGAGCTGAATGTGCTCAATGTCAATCTGCGCGTGCTCGAGGAGCGGCTCGCCCAGAGCGTCAAGAGCAAGCCCCTGTTCCTGGACGAGGAACCGGCCAGCGAGCAGCTGCAGCAGCAGCAGCTCAAGCAGAAGCTGGACGAGTGCAACAAGAGCAACATCAAGCTGAAGCTCAAGTGCAAGCAAGCCGAGAAGCAGCTGCAGCAGCTCCAGAGCCAGGATGCGCAGCAGCAGCTGCTGCGCTTGACAGCTGAGAATGAGCAGCTGCAGCAGCGCATTACGGTGCTCGAGGATGAGAAGGGCCAGTGGCAGCTGGCCCATGTCGAAGAGGAACAGCTGGAGCCGGAGCAGCTGGCGAGCAAAGCCACGCCCACAGCTGGCCAAAGCGAGACTATACGCCTGCTGGAGGAGCAAAAGGAGGAGCTGCAACAGGCGCTGGCAGCGCTGCAAATGGGCAGCGCCGCGGCACGCGTCGAGTCCGAGCTGAGCGAGGTGCAGCTAGAGGAGCAGCTGTCGCAGCGCGTGCAACAGCTGGAGGCGGAGGCGAACGAGCAGCGCCAACAGCTGCAGACGCTGCAATCCGAGAAGGAGGCGCTGGACAAAAAGCTCAGCCACTACATCAACGAGAACATGGAGCTGCTGGACAAGCTGGAGAAGCTCAGCTCCTCCAGCTCCGCGGAGTCCATTGAGATTGTCGAACGACCCACAGACAGACGCTTCAGCCAACGTCCGGGTGATCCGGCTGCCGTTGCAGATGTAGCCGGAGCCGGAGCTGCAACTGATGCTGAAGCTGGACAACAGACAGCCGCTGCGCCCGCCCGGCTGCCCAGCTTTGTGAGCGAGCTGACCCAAACGGATCTGGTGGCAGCGCCCGAGCTGGAGGTCAACGAGAGTCTCGCCCAGCTGCGCAACGAAAGCGACGAACTGCTCCAGAAGATTGAGCTCTTCACCAGCGAGCGGCGCGAGGTGCTCGCCAAAATGGAGCAGCTGCAGGCGCAGAATGTCCAGCTCCAAGCCCAGCTGCAGGCGTCGCAGGAGCAGCAGCAGGCGGCCCAGGAGCAGCAGCAGGCGGCCCAGGAGCAGCGGCGGGCGGCCCAGGAGCAACTGCAGTCGGATCGTGCCCAACTGAAGGCGGCGCAGGAGCAGCTGCAGGCGGAGAATGGCTCGCTGCAGGCACAGCTGGAGGAACTGCAGCGGGATAAGCAACAGCTCTCGCTGCAGCTCAGCGAGAAATCGAATCTCTCGCAGGAGCTGAGCTCCATGCAGCGCTCCTCGGAGGTGGTCGCCGCCCTCGACTGCGGCGCAGACGGCGCCGCGCTCTTTGACAAATGCGAACGTTCCCTGTCGAAGCTCAGCTCCGAGCTGGAGGCCTATCGCAAGGCCAACGATCGCAATGCCAAGCTGAACGTGTCCAAGAAACTGGCCAAGGAGGCCAAGAATGTGCACAGCCAGCTCTCGGAGTTGTTGCACAAGGTGAAGGAGGCCAGCACCGCGGTGGAGACGGTCACCGTCGTCGAGACCGTTGTCGCCGTCACCGCGCCCAATGGCAAAGCTCTCGCGGAATACGAGCAGCTGAACGCACAGAATGCCGAGCTAAAGGCCACGCTGGCGGCGCTCCAGGCGGAGCTGGCCGAGCTGCGCGACAGCTGCGAGCCGACGGAGCTGTCCAAACGGGCAATAGGCCACAAGCTTGAGGAGGACTGGGTGTGGGAGCAGGAGAAGGAGCAGGAGAAGGAACAGGAGAAGGAACAGGAGAGGGAGCGGGAGAGGGAGCAGGAGAAGGAAAAGGAAAGGGAGCGAGAGCTGGAACGGGAATCCCTCATGGCGGAGCAGGAACAGCAGCTGGCCCAGCTGCAGTCGATCATCGCGGAGTTGCGCGCCGGCGAGACGGAGCACCTGCAGCTTATAGCCAGCCAGAGCGCAGAGCTGGTGCAGCTGCAGCTGCAGGCGGAGCAGTTCGATCAGTCGCTGAACAAAAGCGAAATGGCATACGAGAAGCACATGGAGCAGCAGCAGCGGCTGCGCCGCGAGCTGCAGTCGCGCATCGAGACGCTGGAGGGGGAGCAGAGCATACTGCAGGCCCTGGTCGCCGAGCAGAAGCAGCAGCTGATCGAGAGCTACAGCGAGAGCGAATACGAGACGAACCTGAAGCTGCTGGAGCTGCAGCAGTGCCAGCAGGAGCTGGAGCAGAGCGAGACGCGCAACAAGGAGCTGCGCGAGAAACTGAAGAAATATGCTTTGAATCTGAAGAAGCGGCAGGTGGAGCACACGGAGCTGCAGGAACAGCTGCACAGGGAGCAGGCAACCACGACGGAGCTGCGCGAGCAAGTGCAGCGCCAGCAAGCGGAGCTGGAGCAGGCGCAGCAACTGGCCGAGCAGGCACAGCAACAGGCCGAGCAGGCACAGCAACAGGCGGAGCAGGCACAGCAACAGATGCAGCAGGCCCAGCTGGACAGCAAGGAGCTGCAGCAGCAGCTGCTCAAGCAACAGCCCAAGCTGGCCAAGCTCAAGGAGGAGGTGGAGCGGCTTCAGGTCGAGCTGCAGAATACGGTGCACGCTAACACGGCGCTGCGCCAGGAGAGCTACCAGCTGGAGCTCTCGCTCGCCGAGCAGACTAGCAACGAGGAGCTGCGCCGCCAGCTGGAGCAGAAATCGGTCAAGTTCGACAAGTCCAAGGAGGTTATCAAGCAGCGCAACGCCACCATCCAGAGCCTGCAACGGGAGCTGGCCGAGCTGCGCGCCCAACTGCAGGCCCAGCCCGAGGAGACGGAGGCGGATCTGGAGCAGCAAGCGCAGCAGAAGGCGCAGGAGGAGTCGCTGCACTTGCTCAAACTGCAGCTGCAGCAGCTGCAGGCACAGAACGTTCAGCTCACGGAGGACAAGCTTAACTTTGAGCTGGCCTACGGCCGGCTGGAGACATTGCACGCGGGCATCGAGCTCAAGCTGCAGCAGGATCAATCCTACATCGAGACGCTGGAGGCACAAAATGCGGATCTGCAGAGCAAGTGCGCAGCACTGGAGGATAAGGCCGCGGTGCTGCAGGCGCACGAGCTCAGCGCCAAGGAGCAGCGGCAGCAGCTCGAGCAACAGCTGCAGCAGCTGGAAACGGAGCGGGCGGAGCACGAGGCGAAGCTGGACGCACGCCTGCAGCAGCTGACGGAGCGCGAGCAGAGCCAAAGCCGGCAGCTGCAGCTGCTCGGCAGCGAGGCGCAGGTGGCGCGCGAACAAATGCTGGCGCTCCAGGCCGCGCACGACGCGCTGCTGGCGCGGCACAAGCAACAGACGCAGCAGATGCAACAGCTCGAGACGGAGCGCAAGCAGCTGGCCAGCAGCGGGGAGCAGGAGTTACAGGAGCTGCGCACGCAGCTGGAGACGCGCAACCAGGAGCTGCAGCGCCAGCGCCAGGTCTACGACGCCAAGCTGGCGGCCAAGGCCAGCGAGCTGGACGAGCTCGAGTGTGATCTGAGCGCTCACATGGAGCGCGCCAATGCGCAGACGCGTGAGCTTACCCAGCAACTGGAGCGTGCCCAGGAGCAGCTGCAGCAGCGCGACGAGCAGCTGGCCAACCTCAACGTGGACCTCAGCGAGCTGGAGCGCGAGCGGCTGCTCGAGCATCAGGAGCTGCGTGAGGTACAGCAGCTGCGCTTGCAGTCCAACCAGGAGTTGCGGGCGCTGCAGCAACAGATCGCCGAGCTGGGCACGCACAACCAAACCGACGATCAGGTTGAAATCGAGACGGAGACGAATCGCCTCGTCGAGAAGCTGGCCGAGATCGATAAGCAAACCGAGCTGCTCACACGCCACCAGCCAGCTCCAGCTCCAGTTCCGGCTTCAGCGGCAGCTGACGATTGGATGGCCTGGTCACGACCTGATCCTGTCCCAGTTCCTGCTCCTGGTCCTGGCCAAATGGCGCTCACGGAGCAGGTATGTAGCTGAAAAATGAAAGAGTGCTCCCTCCTGCCCTTAAACAGCCCCATTTTATGGGAATAGCCTCGTTTAGCTTGGCTGCTTCAAGTCTGATTTATCCGAAGTGGGCTAATACGGGCGGGTATCCAGAAACTGAATCCACATCCCAAGTTTCGTGCAACTAGCTCGAATAGTTCTCGAGTTATGCTTGAAGAAACAAAGTCTAAAAATCCCCCCTTCCCCTTCCGACTGCCCTTACTTTAGCTGGAACTAATTAGATTTATTTTCGCAGAATGTGCCATTGCCCGCGCCCGCCATGTTCTTTGGTGGCGACGTGGCGGCAGCGCCCTCGCCCTTCGATGAGATTGTTGCCCAACCGTTGAGGATGAGCACACAGAATGTGGGCGTGGCACAGCGTGAGTCGAACGAAGCGAGCATCGAGAAACTGCAGCGCAATGTGTCCGACCTGGAGAAGCACGCCAAGGAGCTAGAGACGCAGCTGCTGGCGCGCAACCAGGCGCTGGCCGAGCACGAGGAGCGACGCGTCCAACTGGAGCGCGCGCTGGCCGAACGCGAACAGGAGCTGGCCCAGCTGCGCGCCGCGGCCGAGGAACGCGAACGCCTGGCGGCCATCGAGCAGCTAATACAGCCAACGGCTGGCGCGGCTGTGGCGCCCTCTCTGGACATGTTCTTTGGCGGCGAGACGGTGCCAGATGCAGCCGTTGCCAGCTTCCAGCAGGAGCTGGGTCTGCCGCAGAGCGAGCCCGTTGTGGAGCCCCCGATTGTGCCAAAGAAGGCGTATCTCTGTCAGCCAGAGCAGGAGGAGCAGGCGCAGCAGCCGGCCAGCGACTGGCCTGTGGACGTGGACGAGGATCCGTGGGCCAATGCAGGAGCCGAGCAGCAGCTGACAGATGCCACCGCAGCGCTGCACGCGCGCATCGAGGAGCTGGAGGCGCAGAAGGCGAAGCTGCAGACGAAGACTGCGAAGCTGATGAAGTGCGTCAAGGAGTACCGCAGCAAGGAGCAGCAGGAGCAGGCGCGCAAGGACAACAACAACGACCTGGACGGCGCCATCATCGACGAGCTGAAGCTGCAGCTGCAGCTGCAGGAAACGCGTCAGGCCAAGACCGAGGAGCTGCTCCAGCAGCAAACGCTCGAAAAGGAGAAGCTAGTGAAGCGCATCGATGTGCTCACCGCCGGCAACGAACGCATGGCCGAGCTAAAGGAGCGCCAGGACCGCGAGGTGCAGATGTATCAGACGCGCATACGTGAGCTCCAGCAGAAGCTGCAGCAGCTCGAGAGCTGGGATGAGGTGGCAGCCACGCCCACTGCGCCGACCAGCGGCGACGATGCGGCAGCGGCGGCAGCAGCGCGTGCGACCATTGAGAAACTGCAGGCCGAGAACCAGGAGCTGAACAGCGAGTGCCAGGAGCTGAACAGCGAATGCCAGGAGCTGTTGGCACAGCTGCAGCAGGAGAAGCAGCGGGCGCAGCGCGAACAGGAACAGCTGCAGGCACAGCTAGAGGCACACGATCAGCAGGCGGAGCAGGTGAAGCAGCAGGCGGAGCTCGAGAAGCAGCTGGCGGAGCAGGTTAAGCAGCAGGCGGAGCAGCAAGTGGAGCAGAAGGTAGAGCAGATAAAGCAACAGGCGGAGCAAGAGAAGCACCAAGTGGAGCTCGAGAAGCAGCAGGCGGAGCAGGAGAGACAACAGGCGGAGCACGAAAAGCATCAGGCGGAGCAGGAGTGCCAGCAGCTGCAGCTGCAGCTGGCCGAGCTCAGAGCCAAGCAGCTGGAGCTGCCGGCGATGGTAACGGCGCCGCCAGCGACTGCACCCAGTGATGAGAGCCGGGCTCTGCTGCAGGAAAAGGAATCAGAAATTGTGCATCTCAAGCAGCGCATCGAGGAGCTGATGCGCGAGGATCAGACCGAAAAGCTGGTGCTGGAGATTCTAACCAAGAACCAGGAGCTGCAGCTGCTGCGCATGCAGGTCAAGCAACTGGAGGAGGACAAGCTGGAGCAGCAGCAGCAGGCCAACCAGGCCAATCAGGCAGCTGTGCCCGTGGAGGAGCTGGAACAGCTGCGTCGGCAATGCGAACAGCAGCAGCAGGAGAAGTCCGACATGGAGGAGGAGCTGCGCGTGCTCAACAATCATGTGCTCAACAGCCTGGAGCTGGAGGACAAAATGAAGCAAGCCGTGCTCGAGCTGGACACCAAAACGATTGAGATAACCGAACTCCGCAAAACCCTAGACCAGCTCCAGCAAAAGGAGGTGCAACAGGTGCAGCCCCAGCCTGATATCGGCGCACTGAACAAGCAGTGGGAGGCGCTGGTGGAGCAAAAGTGCAGCGAGGTGGCCAGCATTTGGCAGGAGCATCTGGCGCAACGCGAGGCCGACTACGAGGCGAAGATCGAACAGCTGAAGGCGGCAACAGCATCCCCGCCAGAAACAACGGAGCAGCTGGCACCAGCACCAGCACCAGTAGACGCCACGACGACGGACGTCGGCGAGATGCTGCTAAAGATGCAGCGGGCGCTCGAGACGCAGGAAATGGAGATCGTGACATTAAAGGAACAGCTGGCCATACGTTCCGCTGAATATGCACGTCTCGCCTCACAGTACGATCCCTTCCGGCTGCAGAATACGCTCGGCGGCAATCCGAGCGGACCGACGGGCAGCGGATCGGATTCGCTCGGACCCGCGGGAGAGTATGTGCCCAAATCGGATCTGGACTATGCGCTCATGATGCTGCATCAGCGCGATATGCGCGTCGAGGAGATGATCGTTGAGCTGGTGCAGCTGCTCGAGGAGCGCGATCATCTGCAGCTCAAGCTCTCGGACACGCTGCGCCAACTGGAGGCCGAGCGCAGTAAGTCCTGCCCAAACACAGCTCGACATCGACTAATCCCTTTTAATTTCCAGCTGGCGCACCCTTCTCCAACTCGCCGGCGGCAGCGACGACGACGACGACGACGACGGCCTTGGTCAGCCCCAACCAGCTGAGCGTCAGCAGCAGCAGCAGCGGCGCCGATCTCGCCGTGTCCCCAGCTGCCAGCGGCAGCGATCTGAAGCAGAAGTAAGTTCCGAATGATTGACTTGGAACTTCCAAGTGCCAGTCAATCTCTTGAACTGCATCTCTGAGTATTTGCATAAGCGAACCCAAAAGGATTACCCTAAACGTATTCCGGTGCTCCGCCAGGTAGTCATCTTGGCCCGGTACTCTCTACTCTCCACATCAATGAACCTTCCTCGATGATGTCTCAGTCCCAAGTATTCATCTTTGCTGCATATGAAGATCTTTTACAAGCCAAGCTCTTCAATCTTAACTGTTCCAAATGTAAGGAAATGAGCCTTCTCAATTGGTTTCCTACATCCGGGATAGATTACCAAGCTGATGAACTAGGTCTCCCTATTGATCATAAGCTTAGGAATCATAATCTTGGCCAGAATTGTTTTCGGTTTCATCAAAGGAGTTCGACAATCCGACAAAAATCTTTCATATATCTATGCTAGAGTATGCCTCATGCATCTGAGCAACACAATATTCCATTCATCAGGACGCAATTGAATCTGTGCAGCAACAATTCAATTGGGATACTCCTACTCCTCCAGACTTCTCTGATGATTCATCTTCCTTCCTTAATTAATCGTAGAACCATGCTGGTTCTGCTTCTCCATCCTTCGCTCACCTTTATCGATGCCCTGCAAGAATCATTCCAAGTTCTCTATGATGATTATCTTCTGCTCGGAGTCTTCTCTTCCTCTAATAAAGTCATCTATTCTAAGACTAATAGCCATGTATTGCTTCCTCTAGATTGGCCGAGCTGCAAACGGTGAAGCATTCCAAGGACAAGGCAATTGTGGACGAGCGCGAGCAGCGTCTGCAGCAGATGATTCAGCTGCAGCGTGACATGGCGAAGGCAGCGCCAGCAACAGGAGCAGCTGCAGCAGCTGGCACGGCTCCAGCTCTGCCTACTCCTACTCCTTCTGCTCAGCTCGATGTCGATCCAAGTAGGTGGCATTCTTTGGATTCATCTAAATATGCATATTAATTGTTTTATAATTCTCGCCAGCTCAACCTGCGCTGCGCTCCCCTTCCATGCTGCTTATGGACTGGATATTGGGCAATAACAAGAGCGAGGACGAGGCGACGCCCGGCCCATCCCAGCCGCAGCCGTCGCATCCGCCGGCGAGCAACTAGCAGCTCGCCAAGCGTCGCCAGCGTTGCGCCCA